ATTTAGATGAGGTAATAACTTGAATTTTATATTATCATGTTTTATGTTTGAGTTTAGAAAAAATAAATATTCGGCCACATTACGAAATTAAAAAAAATCAAAATTTCTTAATTATGGAGGAAATTTATCCAATACCAAATGCAAATACCCACGTCTCGTCAATTACCTTGGCACTACCACGATCTTCATTATATTATTACTATTAATTTGACAAATAAATTGCGAAGTTTTAAAATTTCCCAAGATAAAACATTTAATAAAATAGTGTTCTCAAATTCATTAAAGTTATGGCTGAAGTATGATGGGAACTTATTGCTGCTTTTACAATCGCATCCTTACACATATAGGTAGGGGTCTATAACATAGATATTTCTTACATAAATTTTTAAATTTCGATATTATTGAAATAAATATTTAAATTCTTATATAGATAATTATATTTTTATGTTGTATACATAAGTATATTATAATTTTGATAACAATAACCTTGAATTACATTTCAACAACATATTAAAGCACCAAATATTGTTGGTGTTGTAAAATTTGTAATAAAAACACTTGTTAATTCATTTGTTTTTAAATTAGTTAATTCCAAGGGAATTCAAATTTTATGTAAAAGATTACTACAGGTATATTACAATTATAATATAAGTGTTATACTATTGTATTTATATCTATATAATAAAATTATGTAACTGTATATAAATTTAAAAAACACTATGAATCAAAATTTTATGAACGTTTCAGTTCTTTTTCGATTCGAATATGATATTTTTGTAGCGAGGGAGGGCAGTTTTGAACCGAAATTTGATTATATTACAGTTATAGGTTAAACTCAAAAAAATCAGTTGTTTTTGAAGTCGGCCTATTGCATTTGATTTTGTAATAGCATAATTTTCTTCCTGTTGGTAGTATTCCACTTGGAAATTAGTGTTATAATGATCGTTCATGCACAGAGAAAATTGTATGAAATAATCCGGATATTAGAAACCGCCTTATAACCTTTATTTTTTCTAATTCTCAACTTGTTTTGAGATTAAAGAGCCATATACTAGAAATTCACTTTTTATAATATGCAGTACTACAAAGTCACAAGTATTTCGAATTTTTTTCATAATGATGGTAATAATATCGAGGCTGTAATGTATTTACTTACTTATTTATGTATAAAAATAAAATTAAAATTTTGTTTTAATGAAAAAATTTCAGATTATAATAATTACCTCGCATTAAACTTAATGGTTTTGAGCGTCAGAATGATATTACAGTACCTACCACTCTATATTTGTATATATATATAAATTTGTATATACATTTATATAATAGAGTAGGAAATATAGTAAAATTTTATTATTTTTTATTGTATTAACAGTATTTTTAACAATATTCACTGTTGATTACATCAGTAATCCTTAATGAAATACTGCAATAAATGTGATGAATGAATGTTATATGTGATATTAAAGTTATTTATTTCCAGGGTTTGGTTCATTATTCTATAGGTATGTAAACATTTTTAGTATGATTTTTTATTGTTCGCCTGTTTTTTTTTCTTAAAAAAGCTTAAAAAGTTATTTCATTATATGAACTTAACCTTGAACCATGAAAATATTTAAGATTATAAATTATAATAATTTTTATTGTGAAATTTTTTTTCGTTAATAAAAGAAAAACCGGCTCCAGATCTTAGAGCACAAAGTAAATATTTTTTAAATAAATAATTTTAGCATGCATACCTTAACGTATTTTAAGAATTTTTAATAAGGACGATAGTTGAATGTTTTTACAATAATCTTAAATTTTTATAAATAAAAGGAAAAACTTTATGCATATCGCCTGTCAAATAATCGACTGAACGTTTCACTTTCAAAAGCATAGTCAATAAATCTTGTATACATTTTTGAAAAAAAACGAGAAAAAGTAGAATTAATCGTGCTAACTCTGTGATACGCGTACGAATTTGTTATCCCATGTGCGAGTAAATATTCCATAGCTGACTATGGCACAGACTATGACTTTAAGTTGCCATATTACCATATTAATTTATGCAAAATTTCAGTACTGTGTTTTAAATATTTTCTTAGATATGGCCAAACTACTATTGAAGTTGTATGGCAGCTACCAGAAAGAGCTAACAAATTTCAACGACTTTTATCAAACACATCGGCCCTATTTATATATTTACTTGTGCAATATTACAATACTACAACAGTTTCTAAGATATAGTCAAATAAATTTTGAAGTTGTATGGCAGCTACCCGAACCAGTACCCCGATCATGTCCAATTTAAATAGGTTTCTGTCACTTCCTACAAGAAATCATTTGTGAAAATTTGGTAAACTTAGCTCAAATAAATTTTGAAGTTGTATGGCAGCTACCCGAACCAGTACCCCAATCATGTCCAATTTAAATAGGTTTATGTCACTTCCTACAAGAAATCATTTGTGAAAATTTAGTGAACTTAGTTCAATTAGTTTTTGAGTTATCGCTGGGACAGAAGGACGGAAAGACAAAGCTAAATCGACTCAGAATTGAGCGCAAATTACAAACGGCAAGGCAAATTTAGTTTACCCTTCGAACATACGTTCGTACGGGTATAATGAGATATGTAACACGGAATAATTCTTCTCACTCAAAAATTACATTTCAAAAATGTATGATAGTTACTCACTTTCTTCTGACTTGGCGAGTAAATTAGCAGAATACATAATCAGACTCTAAATGTATGTCATGTATGTATTATTAAAATTAGCACAAAACTCAAATTAATCACACAATAATTTAATTTTATTTACGTAATTTTTATTTGATCAACGTAACATTGGAAAAGTAAATTACAAAAACTGTGCCACAACACATTGTAATTATCATGCATATTTCTTAAATATAACGGTGAGCATTCTTAGCCTGATTCATTATTTAAAGACTTCTTTTTAAAATACAACTATTACCATGTCAATTTACATAATAGTGCCCGGTTTAAGGTTACAAATCTTACAAAAGCGAATTTAAACTTAGATTGAGAGCTAATATTTTCAAATTGCGATATTCAAAATACAATTATGATCCTTTTAAAATGAATACTTAAAAACTTTCTCTCAGATTTTCTCAAACGCAACTTTATACCTTCTAATATAACCTAAATTTTTATGTTTAGACTTTTCTAAAATGCCTTCCCATATATTAATAAATTGCTCAAAAGAAGGCGTAAAGCAATATTAACATAATAATTGTATTAAAACTCCACTTTATCTTTCATATTAATTAATAGTCTTAATATAAGGGTGGTGTCACCATAAGTATATGCCACTTAACATAAAAGTGAAAAACCATTTATGATTCTTGTAGGCGTATGTGTGCCTACTAAATTAAGTACTTTAGAATGTTGAATTAAAATATACTCTTCTCTAGAAATTAGCGAAAAAATTATAAAAAAAAAATATTATATAATAATTCTTCAAAACTATGTACGCATAATTCTTTCATCAAAGTGAAATTATCAAAGTAAAGCATTTTCTATGTATTTTAAAGCACATACAAGGTAAAAAATCCTTTAACAATAAAAAAGATATAGGACATTAAGAAGAGTGCGTAATGTACGCGCAAAGAAAGTAATTATTTTTCTCTTGAATTACAAAATTAAAAAAATAAAAAAAAAATCAGAAATTAGGGCGCCACTTTGAATAAGGCTTAGTGAAAAAAAAATAAAACGTTTTCGTGATTAAAAAAAAACAGAAATATGCGACAAAAACAGTCAATAAGTTTTGGAAAATTTAAAAAATTTAATAAAAAAAAACACTAAAAACAGGTTTTAAAATTTTTTTTTTTCAAATATTTTCATCGCCATCTCCACAAAATCTGCACAGGGGGGAGCCCGACTTCCCCAGCCTGTGCAGGGCAGTGCACCGTAAAGAAATTCGCAATAGTGCGAACCCGGCTTCTGCTCATCCCCAGCAACTCTGCGGCGAATACGCTGGAGTACGCCGAAAGAAACACCTTCGCATGACGGCACCCTTTCGTGTCCTTTCTGTGACGGGCACATTCCGCCGCGAGCAGGCAGGCAAACCTGGCCCCCACGGCGGAAGAAGGCAGACCGCAGAAAGGCAGCCCCAGATCACCCTCCGCGCCAGCTCATCGGCAATTTCGTTGCCCGCATGGGCACTATGGCCCGGCACCCAAATGAGCGTGACTCTGTTCTCCCATGCCAATTCCGTAAGTGCAGCAAGGCAGCCCCAAACCAGCTTGGATGTAACCTGAGCTGAACGAAGCGCCGCTCTGCTGTCCGAGAACACATAGATGGTGCGGTTTCTATACCCCCTTTCCAAATTGATTCTGAGACAGATCTCTATTGCATGTATTTCGGCCTGGAACACTGTGCAATACCGGGTCAAGGGTTGCATATACACGCGTGTCCGGGTGGACACCGTATACGCCCGAACCCACACCCGACTCCGTTTTGAACCCGTCCGCATACCACACGCTCGAACCCGACCTAAGTACCAGACCACCCCGATCCCACGTCCATCGATTGGGAAACAGAACCCTGTACCTGTGGTCGAAGTTGTAAAGCGGCAGACAGGTATCCGACATGGTTATTCTTAGAATCGGATCGCTCTCAATGAAGTCTCTGTGAGTCCTGTGGGCCAACTTTAGCCCTGCCCCGTCCTCGCCAGAGAGAAGTCGGTAAGTCTCTAGCCGAGCTTCCTTCCATATATGGAGGTGCAGTGGCGGCAACCCGACCATCACTCGATAACTCTATCTATATGGGTATTCCAGTATTACCCACAGATACTTTACCTCCCTGGAGTAACGAATACGTTCACCAAACAGAATTGTGCTCGTTAATCTATCCCTGCTTCTGCGTCTGGTGAAGGCGACCAAATTGCTCTTGCTTGGATTTATATTAAACCCAACGCCTTCACACCACCTATCCACAACACGTAGATATTGCTGTAGAAGATCAGAAATAGTCTTTTCTTTTCTTCTTCTTTCTTCTGGCGCTACATCTCGTGGTGAGATTTGGCCTTCTTTACAATTTGCCTCCATTCTGCTCTATTTTCTGCCTCTCTCTTCCAGTCGCGAACCCCTAGTGTTCGCAAGTCACTTTCTATGCCGTCTATCCACCTAGCTCGTGGCCTGCCCCTTCCTCTACTTAACAGTGGCTTATATTCGAAGGTTCGTTTTTGTTTGCGGTCTTCATGCATCCGTGCTAAGTGGCCAGCCCATCTTAATCTTTGGGACTTGATGTGTTTTACAATATTTTCGCCATGTATTGATTGATTCAACTCTTCGTTCGTACGAAGAAGGTATGCTCCATCTTCAAGTCGTTTGGGACCAAAAATCTTTCTTAATATTTTTCGTTCGAAGATTTTTAAGTTATTTTCATCACCCTGAGTCAGAGACCATGCCTCGCACCCATAAGTCACTATAGGTCTGATGGTCGTTTTGTATAAAATGGTTTTTAAGTTTCTTGATAATAGTCGAGACTGAAATAGTTTCTTATTTGCGTAATAACTTCTATTGCCATTTTGAATATTTTCATTTATGCAGGCGTGCATACTATTATCATTAAATATCGTTGCACCCAAATACCTAAAATGCGTAACTCCTTCGAAGTTATATTCTCCTATGGTAATGTTTTGTGGTGCTCTTCTTCTTTCATCTCGACTCATTCTCAAATACTTTGTTTTTTCTTCGTTAACCAAAAGACCTACCTCGAGTGCCATCTCAGCCAAAACGACGAACGTTTCAGCCATCGTTCGATAACTCTTTGAGACAATGCATACGTCATCTGCGTATGCCATTATTTGGTACGGCCTCGTGAATATGTGGCCCCCATTTTCTAGCGTTCCAATAGCGTGTTGCAAAACCATATTAAATATTAAGGTTGATAAAGCATCACCCTGCCTAACTCCAGCTTTGACTGCAAATTCTTTAGACGTCTGGCCTTGTATCAATACAGAAGTTTTGGAGTCCTGCATTGTCAGTAACGTCATTTGTATTAGTTTGTGGGGTATACCGCGTCCAATTAATGCCTCACGTATCTTGCTTCGTTTTACTGAATCAAAAGCCCGTTGAAAATCTATACATAGGATATGTAGATCCATGTTATATTCGTAACATTTCTCCATTGTTTGCTTCAAAAGGAATATTTGATCTACAGTAGAGCGGTTTTTCCTAAATCCACATTGGTATTCACCAATGGTTACCTCACTGAATGGCTTTAATCTATTGTATATGATGTTAGACAATATCTTGTATAAAGAATCCAGCAACATGACACCCCTGTAATTGCTACACAAGGTTCTATCCCCCTTTTTATGTATGGGAACAAGAAGCCCCAGTGTCCAGTCGTCAGGCATCCTTTCATTGCACCATATATTGCAGATCAGAGTGTGTATATTATTTAACAATATCTCCCCACCACCTCTGACCAGCTCAATCGTTATGCCGCTCTTTCCCGGAGCCTTATTATTTTTCAGCTTATCTACAGCTTTCCTTAACTCGTCAATCGTTGGCATGTCTATAACTGGCTCCAGAGGTACATTATCGTATACGTTTTCTTCATCTGCACTGTAACCTTCATTAAGTGTTTTCTGGAAATACTCGACCCATCTATCCATAACTTTGCTTTCTTCAACTATAAGATTACCTTCTGAATCTTTGCAGACATTAAGTTTCGCTTGGTAACCTTTAGTCTGGTACTTGGTTCTTCTATAAACTTCCCTAGTGTTGCCTTCTAAGTGTGCTTCTTGAATTTTTTCTACTTGTCTTTTCATCATTAATTTCTTTTTCTTTCGACATAGTTTAGTAGCATATTTCCTCTTTTGATTATAGTTTTCGTGGTTTGATCTTGAGTTTCTATTTAACATTTTTTGTCTCGCATCATTTTTAATTTTAATGGCTAACTTGCATTCGTTATCAAACCAATCTATGTTTCGTTCGATCGGCTTCCTTCCTACTACTTCGTTAGCAACTGTGTTAAGGGTGTTTTCAATTCGTTTCCACTCTTCATTTACTGATTCATTTTCTTGAGCGTTGTTATTGGCATTAAGTATCTCGTTCACCCGGGATTGAAACCGTTCTCGAATTTCGGGGGTTTTTAATTTTTCGGTGTCCCATTTGATTCTCTTAATGCCTCTTTCTTTGGCAACATTAGCAATTCTTTGTCTAAGAACCAGTTTCACAAGAAAGTGATCGCTGTCACAGTTTGCTCCTCTACATGATCTAACGTTCAATATGGAGGAAGCTCTTCTCGAGGAGATCAATACGTGATCAATTTGATTAACTACCTGTGAACCCGGAACCCTCCATGTTCCCTTATATATATCCTTTCTCTCGAAACAAGTACTTTTGACTTTTAATGCAGCTTCACTGGCTAATTGACACAGGCGCAAACCATTCGCGCTCGTGTTGTCATGTAAAGAATGTTTCCCAGCAACTTCCAGCACAAATTCTTCCTTTCCAACTTTCGCATTAAAATCGCCCAAGAGTATAAGAGTGTCATACGATCCTGCCTTTTCACACAATGTACTTAGGTTATCATAAAAAACATCTTTTTCTTGTTCTTCGGAATCTTCTGTTGGTGCATACGCAAATATAACTGTAATAATGCAGAATTTCCCTTTAAGTCTCAACGAGCACAGCCTGCTATCAACGGGTGTAAATCCTAATATGTTATTTCTTAATTTTTTGTTTATGATAAACCCTGTACCGTACATTCCTCTTCTATTCTCGTCACCACTATAGTATACTATATATTCCTGTTTATTAATTTTTCCATATCCTTTCCATCTGGTTTCTTGTATAGCTAATATATCTATTTTATATCGCAACATTTCATATGCTACTTCTTGCATTTTTCCAGATTGTAACATTGTTCTTATATTCCAAGTACCTAAATTTAAATCATTGTCCTTTAAACGTTTCCTAGTTCTTATACCATTATTTCCATCCAATATCCAAGGCATTTGTAAAGATTGCATAACACAGTTAGTTTTTTGTAGTGTCCGGGTGTTAACCGTACGACTAACCCCCAACCTGGAGGACCGGGTCATTTGATTTCGGAGTTTTCGTCTCCTAGCCTTTGAGAAACCAATCTCCTGACGTGCAAGGCAGCACCACCGGCAGTTGCTTCGTGATTTTTTCCTGCATGAAGGAGTCTAGATAGCTATGCTACCAGGCCTTCCCTACAGGTCAAAATCCTACTCCCTGCACGCTCTACCTATTAGCCCAGTATATTGGTTACCAGGAGGGACCACGAGGAGGTTGGTAGAATGCGGTTTACCCCCCCAGATCAGAAATAGTGCTCTCACATTTTCCCCGTACGACGAAGGCCACATCGTCGGCGTATCCCCAGACACGTGCCCCGAAGCAATTGAGAGCAGCGATTAGATCATCCACTGCAATGGACCACAGGTGGGGCGAAAGAACCCCGCTCTGCGAACTCCCTTTTGCAGCAGAAATGAAGACTGTATCGTCAGCTATAGTGGACTTAATAACGACCCCTTTATCCTCCACCATTACCGTTGCCTTTGCCTACCACTAGTAGGTGACAGTGCGGTTTTGGCCCCCTAAACACGATTAACTTAAAGTTTAATACAGGTACCAAGGTTTTTTGAACTTCTAAATCGTGTGTTGAAGTGATCCAATTGTATGAAAGCTCCCTCTAAGATCCAGTCCTTTGACAAGGAAATTTAAAAATAAGGAAAATAAAAAAAAATTGTAGAACACTTAATTCTTTGTAAATATATGCAACATTTGAGCTAATTTGAAATCTTAAAGTTATTTTGGAAGTGTTCTACCAAAATAAATTTGTTAAAGAAAACTTTGTTGTTGAAAAATGCAAAATATTCAATTTCTTTTTTTTTGAATTTGCTATGTAATATATGTCAATTGTAAAACATTTGTTTTCATTAAATTTACTAGAGCTGAACAAGAAAATTTCTCTCATATACGAGTACCTGCAGTAAATTTGGTATATAGCATGTAAAGACTTAGAAAAAAGGAACAAAAAACGTTTTCATTGATGTTAATCCTCTTCGTCATGTTGATATTGATCGTATTGAAGCTGTGCAGAACCATTCCCTTCGATTCGGTCTTCGTGGCATGGGTTGATCAGATCCGTTTAGGTTTCCCCTACTCGCACGAGCCAGTGACGCGTATATGTTGCGCGAAATTATCTTGTATTTGTTTGTTTTTTGTACGAACATAAGTAAGAGAGTGCTTAATGCCAGACTATACGGTAGTATTGGTTTTGTTTAATTTATTCCTAGTTTATGTGACGTTTTCTATTTACTCGCCGTACAAGAGTCGTATACGTTGTATTTTAGCTGTTTAAGTTTTTAATTTACTTGATAATGTTGAATAAATATTGTTATTATTATCTTTTTCCTCCACCTTTTTTCTTTCCTTTCCCTTTTCATCTATAAATAATGACGGTTTCAGTTATAGCCACTTTTGTTAGCTAAGTTATGTTTACTTTGCCTTACTAAAATGCACTAAGCAATCGTCTGATATTAGCTTCATCCTCTTTCAAAATAAATTTGATTGATTTTTTTTCCATCCATGAAGTCCGGTTTTTAAAGTTTTTTTCAATGTTATACATGGGGAACGTTAATCCTGCTTTTCGGTTCGGAAAATTCGGGGAAGTTCAAGCTCGTTGCAAAGCTCGTTGTTTTAAAAATTGAAATGAGTAACTTGTTTTGTTTTGAATGAACTTGTGAAATAAAAAAATTCAAATACTAAAATATTTTCAACACCCTGTTAAATAATAATAATATTTAATGCAGCCGTACGTAAATAGATGTACATAAAGTACTTATGCTTGTATTATGCAAAAAAAAAAACAAAAAACTTACACATTAGCTGAACTCAAATAAAATTAAAGTGTTTTGAAATTCAACCTACAGAGAAGTTTTAAATTCGTTCTCGCCATTTGTAGTTTCATAACCTGTGCAAATATTGTATAAAACGCTTGCAAATTTTCTAATTTTTATGCTTTTAATTATTTATTAATACGCATGAGTGTATGCACCATAAACAAGTGTTTGAAATGAAAAAAAAATGAAAATAACCTAATACTTCATTATAACAATTCAAAAGTACAGCTATTTTGTATATAATATGGCACTTTAAAGTTTCTTAACACTGTTTCAAATTAAGTTCAGTTCAAAAGTCACCAATAAAATTCGTTATAAGGGTCTACCAACATTTTATAAGGAAAATGTATTTAACATTAAAGAGAAGGTAATTTGAATGCTATAAAAAAAATTATTTTAAAAATCTGGTCAAAGTAAAGTGTTAACTTTCAAAATTTAGAAATTGTAAAAACTAAAACTTAACAAAATTAAAATAGAAAATATAAAATCGGATATAAATTTGAAATAATTGTTAATGTAGGGTGTTTATTTTAAACACCATAGTATTTAAAACTTTAGGCAACAAACAGAAAATTCATTGAAAATTTTCGGAATTGTTCTTAACGGAACACTGGCGGGACGTCGAATTGTGGGACCTTGGTAGCATTTTTCAAGCTTCAGTTCGAGTGTGACCGGTAATAGTCATCAAACAACTTGAAGCTGAATGTCCACTTACTCTGGCAATTAACTGGTCTTCTGGAGCTTTTCGAAGCGAAAAACACCTTTATGCAATATATTAGAATTTTAATATTTCAATGAAAATTTCTCGGTTTAATTCAATTTTCTTCAATTATCATAATTCAATTCATAATATTATGCTTGTTGCTGTTTTCAGTGCTAAATTTAATAAGCAAAACAATAATTTGTAGCATTGTGTTTTCAAAAAATTCTTACAGCACTATGAAAATTTTTTAAATTAGCCACTCATAAAAGTTGTTTGAACAATTTAAAAAAGAAAAACCCACTGCAAAAATTGTAAACTTTATAAAGTTTCAGTAATATTTTTAATAATTTTTGTATTTTTGCCCGTACATAAGGTGCCTAAATAGTTTTCAAGTCTTAATTCTTTTATTTCTTAAATTTTTAACTTTTCATAATTTTATTGTTATAAAAATTTAAAAGTTTTTTTCTTTTTTGTGAAATTTCTTTGTTCCACCAGTTACTGAACCATTTTTCTGACACTTTTATATCCTGAATTTTAATTGAACTCCAAGAACAAATAATTGACATAAAAATCACACAAAAAAATCCTTGACATGTTTTTATATACAATGAAAACGCATATAGAAAAATGTACAATTATAATTAACGTAAAAGCTATACGCTTACTTGCAATGCCATGTGTTTTGTTTATATAGACAGTGAATGCGATAACAGTTTTGACACAAATATAAAGGGTGTCTCTTTTTAGGTCATTTTAAGGATTCTATTTGAAAAATTTGAATTTTATTTTGAAAAACATTTTTTTCAAATAATTATTTGAATTTGATTTTAATTTATATTTTTAGTTGCATTAAAATTTTCGCATTGAGTGATGGTAAGTGTGCTTATATAACAATACTAAGTTGTTTTAGAAACTGACCGTCATTAAATCCTTTGACGACACCTCAAAGTTGTTGTTGTTAACGCCGATAATGACTATTTGAGTAATTTTTTCAAATTTTTACATGATTATTTTTGACAGCCGTTTCAATCTTATCGCTTTCTGGCCGACTTTTAATTGTGTAAGAAGAAATTTTAAAATATTTTATAGTTAAAAATGTTAGGAGTTTTATTTGACATCATTTTGCGTACAATTATCGAGCACATTTCATTAAAATCTTAAATTTTCCAAGTGTGTACAATGCTAGAATTCAATAATTAAATCTCGTACTTTCTGTTATACTTAGTTTTTGAAGTTTTGTTAGTTACTCTCAACAGTTTCTTCATTTTTTTTATAAGAAACATCAACTTAACACAACTATAAAGCGTAAAGGCTAATGAAAACCGGATGATAAGTTGTCGTTTATTACTCACTGAGTTTTTTTAATAGTTTTTGTAATTTTTGCTTTTGTTTTTTTTTTATAAATTGAATATTTTCCTTACAAATATTTTATTAAGATTTTTTATATTAGAATAACAACACTTATTACTACTATAACTACAATTTATATAACAATGTATTGAAGTAAAGAGCTTTATTGTTTAAATTAGTTTAATACCATGACCATTGGGTTACGGTTTAAGATTTTGTCCAAGTAGCAAGCAAACTTTTTTTAGCAATTACTCTTGTGTACTTTAAGTTGCTTTTTTTTTTATTTTCTTATATTTATTTTACTTAATTATTATATGTTTTAGTTTTTTATTTATATACTTGTATGTATGTGTATACTTCTAATTCTTTTGTTTGCACTTATATATTGTACATTGTTGTGTTCGGATCCTTTACAGAACAATATAGCTTTTCATCGACATTTTTAATTAAATCTCAAAATATTGTTTACTTTACCACACACTGAACTCTTCATAAGTAGTTTTAGCCACCACACTACTGTTTATAAAAATAAAAGGTGGGTATTGTTTTCAAATTTACAACAATTTTTGAACAAAGTAGTCCGCTGTGCTAGAACCAGATTATTTGGAATGGGCTCGTTTAGTGTTTAAAGAGAAAAGTTATTATTCAAGTGGTCAAAAGCTTGACTTAAATATTTGATTTCGTGCTAGATTTTAATTATACTACACTTATAATATATTGAAAATTAAATTGCACGTCGCTTATGTGATGACCACGTCAGTCATTCTTTATCGTATTTTTCTTTTTTTATTTTATAAAATTTGTTTTAACATTTCTTTTATACTTTTTTTTTTATTTTATTGTGTACTTTGCTTTTTGTTAAAGCAAAACAAAAATTTTGAAAGGATAAACGATATTTTTTTTATTATATTACAACTTTATTCTAGGTATAATAAAAAATAATAAGCTAAGCTATTCAAACTGGAGTAATTTCGATGAGTAATTCATATAAAATAATTATTTTGTACATTATTTACAATGTACATAATGTTTTGAA